CCATTTCATGGCCCTGCCTCTGCCCTGCCCTGCACAGCTCAGGGGAATTCTCTGTGAGCCCAGCCCGGGGTTCTCTGCGGTCAGCCAGGTGTAGCTGCCTCACATCCAGTCTGTCCCAAAGGTGTAAATCTGTCCCTGACCCGGCCCACAGCCCTGGGATTTGAGACCCAGGTTTGTCACCTTTGGGCAGCATCCACCGTGGGGCATCCCAGGGAAGTCTGCAGGACCTTGGCTCTGACATCCCAGAAACAACCAGGAAACATCCTACTGTTCCCCCTCTTTATGGGTAAATGGAGGCACAGGGATTTCTCCGGAATGCCAAGATGACATCACTCTTGCAACACCTCCCAAGAGCAGGAGAGCCACCCATCAGACCACCTCTGCCACTGCCCATCCTGAAAATGGGACACCAGGAAGCCAGTGAGGAATCCTCAAATCAGCCAAAATCCCCCAGGGCTCCTGGCTGCTCTCTGAGCAGCCAGTGTGACATTTTAGGGTGCAGGTGTGTGCTGCTTTCTGCTCCCAGGCTGTGGTGTGACACTGGGAGCATCTTTGCTGCCCTTCCTCCCTGCTCTGTGCATCCTTGGCAAACTAGGGAAGACTGGGGGAGGTGGAGAACCCAGGGAGCCCTTGGCTCTGGGAAAGCCATCCCAAAGCACAAACAGTGGGGTGGCAGCTGCCTGTTCCATCCTTGGCCCTACAGAGGATGTCCCAAAGTTCAGGACAGGCCGATGGGGTACAGGGTCAGCATCAAGGATGGAGCAGTGCCAGGTACAGGGACCTGCTGGAGGTGGCCTTGGCTCCAGCACATGCCAAAGGTCACACCAAGAGTGTCCTCCTGCCAAACCAGGGCACCTGGGCAGCCCCACCACAGCCCTGCCACCAGGGAGGGGGTGGCTGCAGGGTACAGAGGACATCCCCTCTGCTGCCCAGGGTGTTAAAAGCTGCTCCTGCCTGCCACCCACCCTGTACATGTCATAAAGGGCGAGCCCAGGGCAGAGGAGGCTGCCCAGCACAGCCATGGTCCTGCCTCCCAATCTTATCCCAACCTTATCCCTCCTGCCACTCCCAAACACACACAGACAGCCCTGGGCAAACCCTCTGCTCCCTGAGCTCCTTCTCCTGGGCAGCAGGAAAAAACCTGTTCCTTCCCCAGTTTCCATGTGCCCAACATCCAGTGTGGAAACAGGAAGGGGTTTTTTAGGGTTTCAGGCTCACTGTGGGCACTGAGAGCCCCCTGAAGGTTTTACTCTCGTTGCTGCTCACTAAGGACAGGGAAGGCTGATGGATTTTGGGGAGGGATGAGCAAGTGCAGCTCATCCTGGTGGGATCTCATCTGCTCCCCAGGTGGGAGGAAGCACCAGCAGAAGTTCAGGGTGCAGGGTGAACTGGCAGCCTGAGGTATCCAGACTCAGGCATGGAGCCAGCATTCCAACATCCCAGTGGGAACCTCGGACATCAGCCCTTGTGCCTCACAAGCCTGAGCTGTGTTTGCAGGAAGGAGAGCTGGGAGGTCTCAGGGGGATGTGAAGATGTGATCACAGTCACCAGTGGTCACCTGCATCCTTCCACACTTCAATCATTTATCCCAGCAGAAACCTGATTGCACCAAGGGTGAGCCCAGTGGGTGTGACTGAGATCCTGGAATCATGGAATGGTTTGGGTTGGAAGGGACCTTAAAGATCATCAGTTCCAACCCCCTGCCATGGGCAGGGACACCTTCCACTGTCCCAGGCTGCTCCAAGCCCCAGTGTCCAACCTGGCCTTGGGCACTGCCAGGGATCCAGGGGCAGCCACAGCTGCTCTGGGCACCCTGTGCCAGCCCTGCCCACCCTCACAGCCAGGAATTCCATCCCAATATCCCATCCATCCATCCATCCATCCATCCATCCATCCATCCATCCATCCACCCCTCTGGCAGTGGGAACCATTCCCTGTGTCCTGTCCCTCCATCCCTTGTTCCAAGTCCCTCTCCAGCCCTCTTTGAACCTCTTTGGGCACTGGAATTCAGCCAGGATGTAACATCCTCAGAGAGGGGTCTGTCCCAGGGGCGTGCACGTCTTTGGGCAGGTTTGGAGCTGTGGAAGCCCAGGAATGAGGCAGCTCAGACACCTGGAGCAGGGCGTTCTCCACACCGAGCCTGCCGGGCGGGTTTGCTGCTTGACCTTTGAGATGCAGGGGCAATATTTCCTCTTTGAGCTGTCTGCAGAGATAATGACTTTTGTAATGGATTTCCTGTTCTTTTTATAGCACAGGGGAAGCTGGCAGACCACATCTGAGCTTGCTTTAGTGAGACATAATTATGTTTGCTGGAAAACCTGATCTTTTCTTGAAATGTGTTTTTCTTTGGTCTGATCCAAAGCCCCACAGCAGGACTCAAACACCCTTCGGTGGGAGTGAAGAGGAATAGCAGGGAGCAGCCAACCAGGGATCTGGAGGTGCATGGGAACAGCCCAGAGGTGAGAACTTCCACACGGGCTGGTCAAAGGTTCATCCAGCCCAGTCCTGGAAACTGCTCCTCCCTCCAGCATCCACCACTGTTATGTTATGGAATTTAAATTCCATAACACATTATTCTCTCTTGTTTCTACTGTCTCTTTTTAAAAATCTGTTGTCCATAAAACCATTTAAATCCACAGATACTCCCTGTCTCTGCAGCCTCTCACATCCCAGGGAGGTAGAGCTTCACTGATGCCACAAAACAGAGGCAGAAATTAATTTCCCAGCAGCCTCGTGGGGTTTTGCTGGGGCCACAGCAGGGCATGAATTTTATGTCAGCTCCTAAAGAAACCCTTGTGAGGAGCCTTCAGGTTATCCTGCATCTCTCTTCTCTAAATTGCTCCAGCTCACTTGAAGAGAAGGATGCAATTCCCAGTGCTGGGGGTTCCAGTGTGAAATTCCCTCCTTCCCTGGCAGTGATCAGGCATTTGTACCCCAGGCTACCAAGGGGGAGTTTCCCCTTTGTTCCTGGACTTCCACCTGAAGTTATCCCCCTGCTGTTAATCTTTCCCCTCAGATATCTCCCACTTGTTAATTTGACTTTCCTCTCATTTATCCCCCACCTGTTAATCTGACTTTCCCTTATTGTTCCTGTTCCTCTGCCTCCCTGTCCCACCACAGATCTGGGCAGAAAATCCTGAGCTCCATCTGATAATTCCTCTCCTCAGCAGGCTTTGCTGGTCCTTGGGCTCTTTCCTTTCCCTGGCAGGCTTCATCCTCTTGCCAGGCACATTCCTGAGCTGCTGCTGACCCCTGGACAGAGGTGTTTACTCAGCCCCTCACCCAGCACCCAAACCAACCCCAGCCTCATTCCTTGTCCTCCCCCTGTCCTGTGCCAGCCTCCCCTGCCCGGTGGGTGCCACACACCCCCAAACTCTGTCAACACACCCTCCCCACACAGCAGAGATGTGACACCAGAACAGCCACGTGCAAATCCCTTGGGAACATTTACCTTTAATGAAACCTCATATTCTCGTTATAAATGACCAGTCTGGAACCCAATTCAATTCTTGGTCTCAGTGACTTTTCATCACACTAACATTTCGCTGTCTCCTTCTCCTTGAGATGAGGACAGCAGGATCTCCTCTCTCCATTTGGCATTCCAGCCCTCCTGGAGCATCTCTTTGGCCTGGCAGTCCTGGCTGGGCACAGCTCTTTGCAGCAGGACCCATTTCCAGGTGCATCTCCATCCCCAGTGCAGCTCTAGGGCTCCCACCTGTGCCCATATCTGCATCCAGCTGGGGCCTGGGGCTGCTCTTTCCCATCCTGGATCCTGGTGTCCAGCCTGCCCCTGGCTGCAGCTGCCCCGAGCAGGAGTTTTGGGTGAGTATCCCCTGCCCGGGGCAGCTGAAGGAGCAGAGGCTGGTGCCCAGTGCCAGGGCAGGATTGCAAACAGCAGCAGAGCATGGCATGACATGAGGGATGGCTGAGGAACAAACAGCTTTGCTGGGTCCTGTGCCAGATCTTGTACAGCCCCAGCCTGGCACTGGGTGCCCAGGGACATCTGCACCAGTCAGGAAACAAAGTTCAGGGCCAGGATGAGCTTGGGGCTTGTGTGCTTAAATATTCCTAATCCAGCTGTGCTAGCTGCCAGGATGGGATGTGCCACCTCCAGCTCTGCCCACACGGGTGGAGGGGATCTCCAGGCACACAGGCCTGGTCACAAACTGGTGGAAGCCTGGAACCAGTCTCAAGGTGAGCCTGACAGCTCAGGCTGTGGAAACACAAATGCTTCAGGTCTCGGGCATCTTGGAGCACACTTTCAGGCAGAAATGTTGAGTGGCCCCGGTTTCAGAAATGAGGGAGTTCAAGCAGACATGGCCAGGAGGAGGTTGAGAGTTTCCTGGGAGGAAATCAGCTCTCAGCCCTGAGCACAATTCCCAATTCCCACAGCTCAGACCATTCCCAGACAAATTTCCATTGTCCCTGCCCTGCCATGTGCCTGGAGCAGCAGGATCTGTGCCCTTCTGTAGGATCTGTGCCCCTCTGCAGGGTCTGTGCCCCTCTGCAGGACCTGGACCCTCTGCAGGACCTGGACCCTCTGCTTCTGCTGTGTCTCCTGATTCTGTGCAGATCCTCCAGCCTCTCCCTCTAGCAAATCAGGGAGCTTGAAGGAACTGCGGCTCCAGTCAGATGGCTCATCTCTGCTGATGGATCCTGCAGAACCTCTGGGGGATCTGGGTTCCTTTGGGGTTTTGCTTCAGCCCAGGTTCCTTTGGGGCTTTGCTTTACCCAGTTTGTGTTGGGTCACCCCTTGGACAGGGGGTGATGCAGAGACCTTGGACCTGCCTTGCTGGGCTCAGCTGAAAATTTCTGCTCCTTTTTTTCATGGGATGACTTGGATGAAGTACAAAGTTAATTTTCACACTGGAGACCATGTAGGGAAGACACTGACTGGGGTGAAATCCTCTAGGGAGTACAAGAAAGTCTTTATTTTCTTGGCTGATCAACACGGCTTGGTGGAGGGGAGGGGAACCTTCTGGGGAAGGTCCTGGCTGCCCTCAGCGGTTGAAGAAGAAGGATTTGAGGCTCTGTAGGAACTGTGACTTCTGCCTCTGCTTCTGCTTCTTGCGGATGATGGGGATCCAGACCAGGCCACACACCAGGAGCATCAGTCCCAGGGACAGGAAAGCCGGGCCAGACATTTTGTAAACGTTTGTGTTCTTGGTCAGGAAGAAGGACAGGCTGGTGATGACTGTCCCAAAGAGGAAGATGGCAGCTCCCACGGACACCACGATGATGGGCTTGTGGTAAATGTCCCACTTGCTCCTGGGCGTGCTGGTCCACACGGACTCGCTGCGGGAGCTCATGCACAGGGTGCTGCCCGTGGGACTGGTGATCAGCTCCTTGGAATGGGGAGACTTCTCACTCCCATCAGGACTCTTGGGGGGGATTTCCATGGTGGTGGGATGGAAGGAGGAGACCTGGGATGGATAAAAGAGAAAGCAGAACAGGGCAAGTGATGGAAGATGGAGGGTGCTTCCATTTGGTCATCAGTGGGTGCAGCCCAAGTGGAGGTGGGGGAGGTTTTGGGGATCACTGCTGGGCAAGAAGAGCATCACACCCATAAGGTGGAGCAGGCAATGGGATCCTGCAGGCAGGCTGGGCAGCAGGATGGGCAGTGCCACCACTGCTCTGCCCAGCACAGCTCTCCCTAAGCACCACACAAGCTTTTATCCCACATGGGCTTTGATCCAGAGCAGGTCACCTAAACCCCACTCCAGCCCCACACATCTGTGCTTGCTGTGCTCTGCAGGGATGGCTCTCCAGGAGATGGCACCTCACAGTGATGCCAGGCTGGCTTTGCTCCCTGCCCGTGCCAGGGCAGCCTGTGGCTCAGCAGGCGTGCAGGAGGTGACCCCAGAGCTCACCAGCCCCAGCTCTTCTCCTGGAGCTGCTGATCCATGTGGGAGCAAGTTCCACATCAGGGCAGCCACGCTGAGGCTGCAAGGCTGGCACAGCTCCAGGGACGAGGAACCTGCCCAGAGCTGGACCATGCTGGGCTCAGTGCCCACCTAGGGGTGCTGATGGAGGAGTGCCAGCCACCACCTCCCTCACTCCTTCACCTGCAGCCCTGCCAAGTTTTGTGGTTACTCTGAAAAGAAAGAGATGTAATTTTAGAATTTAGTCACCCCAGCACAGCCACGGCTGCAGAGCTGGTGCTATTGACATCTTTTGGGATGTTTCAGGTCTGCCAGGCTTGGATAAACAAGCATGAAACAAAAGCCAAGAGCAGTGGACAGGACTTGCAACCCTCCTGTCTGAAGTTCTCACTGCTCTCTGTTGAAACAGAAAAAACAGGGGCAGGGCAAGGGACACATTTCTGATAGAGAATCCCAGAATCCTTTAGATTGGAAAAGCCCTCTCAGCCCATCCAGTCCAAGCTCTGCCTGATCCCCACCTTGTCCCCAGCCCACAGCCCTGAGTGCCACATCCAGAAATTCCTGGGACACCTCTAGGGATGGGCACTCCAACCCTCCCTGGGCAGACCCTGCCGATTCCTGACCTCCCTTTCCATGGGGAAATTCCTGCTGCTGTCCACCCTGAGCCTGCCCTGGCCCAGCCTGAGGCCGTTCCCTCTCCTCCTGCCCACTGAGGCTCTGCATGGGCAAAATCTTTGCTCTGCTGCCACCTACACAACCTGCCCTGGGATCAGTCCAGTCCTCTCAAACCCCCACCAGCCGCAGCTCTGCAGGAATGTGCCCAAATCCTGAGTAATTCCAGGTGCCACCTGCCCACCAGCTGCCTCACTCAGAGCACTGCTGCCTTCTGATCCCCCTCTTCCAGTGCAATCCAGACTTCTGAAATTTCATCCTGGCATTTCTTGTCTTTGTCCTCCTAATGTACATCACAGAGAGGTATTATGATCAAGCCACCATCTAATTTTAATTTGGTTTTGTGGTTGGAAGTTACCTTTATTCTCTGGAATAATCTCACACCTCAGCAGTCTAAAACTTGATGTGCTGTTCCATCTTTTAGGCATCCCATTCCCTGCTTCCCTGTGTGCTGCCATCCTGATTCTGCATCCCAGGGCAGCAGCTCTGCCAGGCGCCCTCCCCTTTGTGTGCAGAGCATTAATGTCAGGCTGCTGCAGAAACCATCAGCTGCCTTTCAGCTCTGCCTTTCCACTAGAGAGGATTTATTCCCCCTTTTATTTCCTGGCAGAACCACTCCTCTCTCACCACAATTCCCAGACCCTGCTCATTTCCCCAGCACTTCCTGGCAGAGCCTGGGTTTTGGTCACACTGTTGGCCACTGCTGGCTAATGAAGGATTTCACTCCCTGCCAGTGCCTGGAGCTTGTTTGGGAGCACTGGGAAGATCTGCAGCTCTTGGGAGAGTTAATGCAACTCTGGTTCCTGCTCTGCCCCTGCTCCATCCCTAATCCATCACAGATGTGCTTGGATGCACTGGATGCACGGAGCAGCCTGGCAGGAGAGTGCTCTTGGATTTCTCCCAGGTTTTTAACCATTGTTGGAAGCAGACAATCAGCAGATGACTCTTTGCTGCCTTGCAAATGCCTCCAGAGCACGTCTCAGCTTTCACCTCTGGTAACTCTGCTGCCCTTCTGAAGCCCTGGGCAGCTCTCACTGCTGGGGTCTCTCCTTCCCCTCTCCATAAGGGAGACCCTCCTGGGATTCTGTTTCTCCTCTCTTTGCTCTTCCAGTGCTTTGTGTGGTGAAGTTTGGTGTCTGAACTGGGAAATCTTGGGGGCCTCCTTGCTGGGGACCTCAGTGCCAAGGCACAGCCTTGACCTTTGGGCATCCTGGATCTGGGAATCAATGGTCATGGAAGAGAAAATTCTGAGGAAAAGCCAAAGCGAGCTCTGCACTCCATGGATGTGGATTGCTGTGATCCCTGCTGGGGAGAAGCAGAGCCCAGCCTAGGCTGAGGCCAGGCCTGGCCAGGCCATTCCTGAGGGTCAGACCCTGCCAGAGGACAAAGTGAGCTCTGCTCTACCTGGCACCAGTGGCCCGGACTGGTGGGACTGGGTGTGTGGCAGCTCCAGTCACCTGCACACAGGTGTGCCCCTGCTTCCCCCACCTGGCTGAGTGACATGGAGATCCCGCCCCACAGACAGGGACCCCCAGGCCCTTCCCATTGCCCCCCGGCTCTCTGGGGCTTCCAGTGGCCTCTGGATGGCTTGTGGTGGTCTCCTGGCAAAGAGCAGCAGCAGTGCTCTGCAAAGCCTTGGGGTGAGACCCAAAGGGTTGGTTTGTCCTTCAGGCAGGAGATGTGCCCAGCCTGTCACCCCAACGGGCAGCAAATCCTCACTGAGTCTCAGCTGGGAGTAAAACAAAACCCTGGGAAATGGAGGAAAATATTTTTCTGCTGCTCTGGAGTGTCTCAGTTGGACTCTTTATTTGGTCCTGGTGTTTAATCTCAGTCCAAGACCCCCCAGATGACAGCAGCAGGTCTGTGTGTGCCAGGAGAAGGGCTTTGCTGCTCTGGAGGATGCGTGTAGCCATGGAATGGGAAGGGAGGAGGCTGCTGCACTCAGGGACATGCACAAACTCAGCAGAAACTTTTTCTTGGATGCTCGTGCCGGCCAAATTTAATCAAGAGTGGCTCTCAGTCAGTTCCCAGCGAGAGAGATGAGTGTTCAGCAGCCAGCACACCCGAGGTCCCCAAGAGACCACAAGAGATGGATGAAGACTGGGGGCTGCTTCCTGGGGGAGGGAGGGGACCTGTCCTGCCCCAGCTGCCCCGTGAGGAGCAGCCCCAGCTCCATCTGCCTCAGGCACCTGCACATGGGGAGGGGCTGGGGGGGACAGCACCCAACCCCTGGGAGGGGAACAGCACCCAAACCCCTGAGAGGAGAACAGCACCCAACCCCTGGGAGGGGAACAGCACCCAAACCCCTGAGAGGAGAAATAGCACCCAACTCTGAGAGGGGAAACAGCACCCAACCCTGAGAGGAGAAACAGCACCCAAACCCCTGAGAGGGGAAACAGCACCCAGCCGAGTGCTGAGCCCGCTCACCATCCTGTGCCTCTGCTGTCCCCGCTGTCACTGGGCCCTGGTGGCTGCAGGTGGCTGGTGGCACTCACCATGCCCTGAGCACACCACAGAATGAGCCCAGCGCTGGCTCCTGCTTTGTGCTGCTGTGTGCCAGTCCCAGCAGGGCTGGGCTCTGCTGGGCTGAGCCCTGGCAGGGGACAGGGAGGTTGTGGGTGCCAGGGATGGGTGCTAGAGCCGCGTTCCTGTCTATCCCCTGCTCATTTTGGAGCCAGGAGCTCCATGGGCAGCTGTTCCTGCGGGCTGGCTGGTGCTGCCCCGAGTCCCTGCACGGTTTCACCAGATTTCACCTTGCCTACAAACCCCACCAGGTGTGGGATGGGAACTGAGACAGACCCAGAGTCCCTTTGCTGGGGCAGTGGAGCTGGGCTGGGCTCAGCCACCTGCATCCCTCGGGAGCAGCTTCCCAGCACTGCTGGAGTCTGGGCAGTCCCAGAGCACCCTCAGGGACTGCTGGGCAAAGAACTCCTGCAAGTCCCCTGGGGCTCAGCCAGAGGATGACCCCACCTTGCACCCCTCTCCACCAGCCCCAGAGCCGAACTCTTGGAACCCATCCTACTTACGTGGAGAGCAGGAAAGGATGGCTGCAGAGCGAGGCCCCTTCTCCAAACAGGGCTCATCCCAAGCCCCACATCCCTCTGGGTGTTGTCTACTGGGCTCTGTTGAGTCTAATAAACAATGGAGCATCCCGGCTCCGATGATCTCACCAGCCTATCAGGATATTGTTTAACTCCTTGTGTGCCTGCCCCTGGCTCCTGGGCGGTGTGCCTGGGAGGGCTGGATAGAAGGCTGTGGTTTGGGAGGCAGGGCAGGGCCTGGAGCAGGAGCCCAGCACTGGGGGTTGGTGCTGATCCAGACTTGGATCATCAGCAAGTTCCTGAAACATCTCTGAAGTGCAATTTCTGCCCTTTCAGAGCACGGAATCGTAGCCAGCAACTGCAAAGTGCTTTGAAGCTCATCAGCAAAGCATTAGAGGGATGCAAGGTATTAGCAATTATCTATTAATTAACATCCTGAGTCCATTACAGGGAGGAGGATGGGAAGAGAGAGGTGGTTCTGGAAATACTGCTTCCTTTCAGGAACCCCCAGCCAAACTTTAATCCCCTCTCACAGCAGTGTGGATCTGCCTGGTGCAGGGAAGGGATCCAGCAGTGCCATTGCTGCTGCCCAGGGCTGGGTTCCAGCGCTGGAACCTCCATCCCTGAGGGGCCTTTGCTGGGTTGGTGCAGTTAAAAACCCAATGTAAGCTGCACCACAGAGCTGGCCGGAGTGGGATGGGGTGGGAGGAGGCTGTGGAGCTCTCCTGGGCATGTGCATGACCCACAAGGGTCAAGGCTGGGCACAGAGGCAGAACAAGGGGCTGAAAGGGGAAGGGGAGGGTCCAGAGGATCAGCATGAGGGGCACCACCTTATCCAGGTGTGGGGAGCTCACAGGAAGACAAGAACCTGGTCGAGGTTCTTCACTCAGCTCTGTGCAGACCTGTGGCCAGCAGTGGTGGCCGTGGGACAGACTATGGAGCTTTTGGGAAGGGGCAGGAGGCTCCCAGCCCTGGGTCAGGGGCAGGGGTGGGATGAGTTCAGGCTCCCATCCTCATCTGTCCTCACCTCTGGATGATTTATCTGAGCACAATGGCCCTGGTGAACTCCACTGCCCATCCACCTGGGAACCAGCAGCCAAAGGAACCAAGTGTTTGGGGGTGTCCAGGGAGGATTTATTGGAACAGATGAAAAGATTCTCTGGAAGTGGGAGTGCTAAGTGGATTTGGGTTCCCTACTGCAAGTCCAAGGAAGGAAGCTTTTATCCTAAAGGAGCAGCTGGCATAAAAGGGAAGGTTTAATTTCAGCTGCAGCAGGATCCACTTCTCACCCTGGTTCTGCTCCGTCTCCAGGCTGAGCTGAGCTCCTCCTGCCCTGCTGGGGACCAGCCAGGCTGCCCCAGCACACAGCTCTGCTCATTGCAGCCCCCCAAACACCCCCCG